GAATGTTTTAGGATGAAATTCCTCACCATATGAAAGCATTTTTAGGTTCTGACCATTACTTAGTCTCATTACCAATATCAGGAATTGTCATCCATTATGTCTCTCAATGAAACACTTTTCTTGCTACACATTTAAACAAGTCACAGAGAATTTTATGATCCAAAATGGTTTATACCTCTACTGTGCCTATTTTGGGCTCTGAAACATTAATGGAATAGACAAAGGGCTCTAACTTTATTAAAACCTTAGGAGCCCCACAAAATTGTTTACTAGGACCAACATCTTCAACCTTGATCCTGCTCTCTCTAAATTAACTTTCTGAAAATACCAGCCTCCATGAACTAAACACACTGGGGATAAATAATTTGGCACAGCCTTTGAAAGTTAGTAAAAGTAAGCTCTCTGCTTGTAATTCCTTTGGAAAGCCTGTGTTGGGTCATCTCATACATCTCGAGTCCTCTTTTGCCTGTCTGTCCTAGGACAGCTGGAGCAGTATCATAGGAATGGAAGTGCTGGTATGTAGCATCTCAGAGAGCTCTCTTATGAAATATGCCTGTTGTACCTTCTCCTTTCCATGTCAGAGATTTATGAGGAATGAAAAAAATGGTAATAGTCTGAAGCTTACAGAGTTTTAAAAAACTATAGATGTATTAGATTGTTTCAAGTAGAATTCCTTTTACCCTGTAATCCTTGTACATGTTAATGGTTAATCACACACATTTACTTGGTAAAACTCTACAGGAATCTAGAGAATTTCAACAGATTATCATTGCACTTATATTAAATAACTTAATTTGATTTTAGTATCTCCAAAACATTTCAGTTAAGATTGAAATGCTCACTTTATGGAAATTAAAAATTGTAGTAACAGAAGAATACTAAAGAGCACTAAAATAAGTTTTCAAAGTATATAACTTGAATGATTAATTTCTCCTTATATTTATGAATATACATATAAAAATTTTAATTTACAAAAACGAATGTAACTTGCAACATCATCATTTTTATTTGTTTTCCACTTGTGTTTAAAATATAAAAAGAAAAAATTGTATAGTGACTATACTTGAAAGTTGTCATTAAATATGTCAGATACATAAAGACTCACTTCAATCTCCTAAATTATTTATAATCTTATTCTCATATTTATCAAACTGTGAAATAAACATTTATGTCTAGAATAATGATCTTCAAGATTAAACTAGTAATATTTTTGTAAAAAAATACTGAAAACCCTTTATATATTGGACATTGTGTTAGAGTTATGTTAAGACTATGTGAATACAGAATGAATAACAAACTGTCTTATTCACACAAAGAAAGGTATCCCAAAATTTCAGCCTTGGGAAGAGAGGAAGGGACCATCTAGACAGCTTCAAGCTTTTATCTAATGATGGTTCCATCACCCTTCACAAGAATATTTTTTCCTACTCCTCCTATTTCTAGTGTCAAAATCATTGTGAATATCTAAACAGATTATAGAGAAAGGAAATCTAAAGCAGAGTGTGGAAAATAATATTAAAGAAAAGAAATTACATATAGGATTGTTATCAAAAATGTTTTGCTAAAAAATCTGGTTAAGCTTTTTGTATATACATACTATACACAGGCAAATATATTCTCATATATGTTATATACTTTCCATATGTTTACATATATATGTAGTTTTGATGTAATAATGCAGTGATACCATGAGTAAAAAATTTGTGTTATGTTATTATTTTTAACTGTTTTTAATCTCCCTATCTATACTTTTCTGTGTTTATTGTACAGTGTTCTGGAATGTCAAGCTGGCTGATAAGTAAAAGTGGAATTGAGAATAACTAAGTCCTAATTCCACACTCTCATATACATGTGAGCATCAATACTAGGTGGATTGTCACCAATGAGTTGACTTCTATGACTTCATTTTAGTTTTAGGAGAGTTTTTTTTTTTTCTCTCTTCCAATGGCATTACGTTTACTACAGAGTCTCAAGAATAAAAACAAACCTAGTGGAGGAAAATCTTTTCTACAAGCAGATGGCTTTTAAAATATCAAGGTTTTGCCATTTGTTTTAGTGCTTAAAATAAACATTATTTATAAGACCACTTACATTTTGATGTTACTTAATGAGGAATATGCATCATTGATTTGACTAGCTTAAGAGGTCATTTAGAACTTGCCCGTTAACAAGCTGTAATCTGCTGAGCACACAATGACTTTGTTTAAAATTATCTATTCAGAGCTGATCGATGACAGTAATTGTTTTATACCAATCACTTCTAAAAGTTGCTAATTACCTTGAAGGGCAGGAATCTGGCCATTTTTGTTATTATTTGTTTTGGAAGTCATAACCTTGAAATTAAGGGAAAAAGTTATTAAAATTCATTCTGCCTCTTGAAAGTATTTTTTTTTTTAAATTAAGCTTGCTCACTAGTACTGGAATATCAACAGAAAATTTAGGCAAAATGCAAGACATCATTTGTGCCTAAAACAGGAAAGTGTACTAGAATCTTCACTTATACTAACTGGCTTTGGTTTGGGCTCCCTATAATGTAAGAAACTAGTATCTTTAAAATTAGAGAACACATTCTCTTTCTCCTTATGCAGTAAGATGGCAGTGGGAGAAACATGGGCTTTTTAGAGTAAAATAGATCTTGGTTTGTATCCTGACTCTGCCATTTGCTTTTCCATAACCTCAGTCTCTTCATTTTAACATGGAGATCATGCCCTGTGGACAAGGATATTGTAAGAATTAAGGTAGTTAGCCCAATCTCTGCACATTCATGAAGCTCAATAACTTTCAGATCCCTCGCTTCAGAGATGGCAGCTTCTTCACGCAAACGCTTAGCTCCTTCCTGCTCTTTTTGAATACACTCACCTGGCACAAAGCTATTTAAAGACTGATTGATTATACTTTAGCATAGAAAAGTTTAATCTGTTGCCTTAGCCTTCATTTACTTACTATACTCTTTATTACCCAGCTGAAAGTAAAAAGTATTGTCTTGGAAAGGGATTTTAGCCTGCCTTTGGGTAGGTATGGAGGATGTTAGGATATCAAAAGTTTCCTCAAGAGCACACCATTTGCAGCCTCTTCCTGGGTGTGGTTGGTATTGTTTTCAGTAGTTGCTAGGCATTGAAGGGAAGAAGCCCAAAATGTTGGCTTCTTGTTTCAGCACAGATTTTTTTCAGTCAGTTTCAGTTTTTGTCCTTGCAGATCTCTGTTCTCAGACATGGACATACTTAGTGGGGAGTGGTGGCAGACACCTATAATCCCAAACCTCAGGAGCTGAGGCAGCATGATTACCAGTTAAGGTCCAGCCTGATCTAGATAGTGAGACCCCGTTCCACTGCTCTAGTATTACCTAGTCATAAGCCACCAAGGTCATACTTCTCAGTATTCTAGCATGCATTTTTTTAATATTTTCGGGTGCATGTAATCTTACTTTATTTAAAATTTGTTGGTATATATTCATCCCAGAGGTAGTCCCTTCCTTAGCACTATTTGATATGCCAATATTTTCCCCATGCAGCTTAAGCCTACTAACTTGTATTGCTGAGGATAAATTTTTGTGGTAAATGTGTTTGCAAGTGTTTTCTTCTTTAATAAAACTATTACTATCTATCTATGCAATAAAAGTATACAGAACCATTTAAAGCCATCCAACCAGCTATGTGACCTTAGGCAATTATTTAGCCTCTCTAAGTATTAATTACCTCTTCTATCAAATGAGAGACAAATACAGGTTCAGAATTAGAGTAAAACCGTTTCTATTATTTAATGATTCAGTATTCCACTTATGAATATTTTAAGCTAAACATCTTTTAGCTAAAAAAGCATAGGCTTTGAGGATAAAATCCATTGAACTAGGGCCTAGTCTCACTATTAGCCTTTCCTATTTAAAATAGGAAAGAAGACAGGTTCTAGCAAACTGTGTTAAAACTGGAAAGACTCCATGTCCTAGAGAAGAATTCTTCATAATATATTAATGAGCATCGGACTTCAGGAGATTGATTCTCGTGATTACTGGGGCTTTATAAGCCATCTAGGAGCCCACTTAAGTATGTTATATGACACCCCCAATACTCCTCTCATCTGAAAAAAGACCCACATTAGTTATATGTGCTGGTAAAAATAAAACTATTTGAATTGCAGTAGGTGATATAAAAGGGTGATAATTTCAAAAGAAGTTTTCATTAATTGAAAATTATATTTCACTTCCTTTCCAATTCTGTATTGTAATGGCTAAAGAATGGGTTTGCTGAACTTCTAATATTTAATTTCTGCATCTATCACCAAGAGCTGTGTAATTATCTGAAAATGATGTAACCTATTTTTGTAGCCATTTTCTTATCTACAGATGAGATAATAAGGGTGTTTATCTTATAGAAATGTCCTAAAGATTAAAATGTATAAATATGAGCAGAGCCATTAGAATAGTACCTGATACCTAAGAACAATAAGTGTTAGCTGTTGTTATTGTTGTTAAGGAATCATTAGGATCTCATGATTAAGACAGAAGACAGTGTCTGGCATGGTGGTACACACCTGCAATCCCAGGACTCAGGAGGCTGAGGCAAGATTATCACAAGTTTGAGGCCAACATGGGCTCTGTAACAAGAGCAAAACAATAATTTGTTCAAAGATTTTGATACCACTAACTTTTGAAATTCCATTTAAAATTTTATTTCAATGAGATGAAATAAAATCTTCAAGCCAGTTGGCTAGGCAATGGGAGAATCATTTGAGTCTTTTAATTGCTAATTTTATAGTTTAACATTTTATAAAATAATTATTTTAAAAGAAATTGTAATAACCTACAATTATATTTCATCTGTAATATTTATAGTAAATCTATGAGTGCAACCTCCGTTTGCAGCTAATATACTGTTGTAGTGGAAAGGCCTAAGACTTTATTTGATATGAGCTATCAGACATAATTACCTTGATTTTGAAGAACTATTCATGTTTCTAATAAAAGTATTCAATGGCATATTTTATCTTCTTATTTATACTAATAGATTCAGCGACAATGGCGTGGCTATCGGATTCGGAAATACTGTTTTAATTATTATTATTTGAAAGAGTACTTGAAAGCTGTTTCAGAGACCAATGATGCAATTAGGTGAGTAATATAATCTACCAGTGAATATTCTATGGTTACTCAATGCATGTGGGTCATTACCATTCTTAGAAATGCTTTCTAAAACTCAGGGATATTTTTGGCAAAAGTGGATTAATAGGGTATATATATGTGATTCTATTTACCTTAAAAATGTATAATTCTGCATTAGAATACCCTGTATGCTTGACAGTAAATTAGATTTTTATGAGGTAACATCTTGATGCTATGCAAAATACTTTCATTTTTATAAAATCATCACATAATGAGGTGGGTTTATCTATAAAATGGTTCTCCAGATGAAACCTTGGGAAACGTGCTCAGTAGCATGAGCTGGCTTCTCAAAGAAGAGAGTGCCATGGAACATATCAAAAGAGGCTGCCCTACTGTCAGTTTTTATTTTTAAAAAACACCTAGGAAGATAGGATCTGGATTTAGGGTTAAGGATATCTTCTATAGATTTAGGCAAAGTAAAGGTATCACAAAACTATTCAATAAGCCTTTCCAAAGCTCTATGTGTTAAATTTCCATATTTCTATTCTTTTGTTTTTGGTTGTGCTGGGGTTTGAGCTCAGGGCCTTGTGCTTGCTAGGCAAGTGCTGTACCACTTGACACATCCCAAGCCCTCATATTACCGTACTTTAAAAATAAGTTTTTTCCAATTTGGAGTCTTCTTAAAAATCTAAGCAAAGATCTGCCATATGATCCAGCAATTCCACTCTTGGGGATATACCCAAAGGAATGTGACACAGGTTACTCCTGAGGTACTTGCACACCCATGTTTATTGCAGCACTATTCACAATAGCCAAGTTATGGAAACAGCCAAGATGCCCCACACGGACGAATGGATTAAGAAAATGTGGTATCTATACACAATGGAATTCTACTCAGCCATTTTCGCAAGAAAATGGATGGAACTGGAGAACATCATTCTGAGCAAGGTGAGCCATGCTCAGAAGACCAAAAATCATATGTGCTCCCTCATATGTGGACTTTAGGTCTAGGGCAAATAGAGCGATGTGGTCGAACCTGTGTCACATGATAAGGGGAGAGCACACACTGGGAGGTAAGAAACCCAAAACATGATAGTATTTGATGTCCCCACTGCAGAGGAACTAATACAGAAACCTTAAAGCGACAGAGGTCAATATGAGAAGAGGATCAGGAACTAGTGAAAAGGTCAGTTAGAGATGAATCAACTTGGGTTGTAACACATTTGTACATGGAAGCAATGCTAGGAATCTCTCTATATAGCTATCCTTATCTCAACTAGCAAAAATGCCTTGTCTTTCTTATTACTGCTTATACCTTCTCTTCAACAAATTAGAGATTAGGGCAGAACAGATTCTGCCTGGAAGTGAGCTGGGAAGAGGGGGAGAGGGAGGGGGTGGAGATAGGGGGGAGAAATGGCTCAAATAATGTATGAACATATGAATAAATGAATAAAAAATATGTTTTTTCCTCTTGTGGTATGTATCATTTTAATGACATATAAGTAACTGTATGCCTATAATACAGTTAAATAAAAAAGTAAATTGTAATTAATGATATTTGACATTTATATAGTAGTTTTCACTTTGAAAATTTGTCCATGCATTTTATTTTACTTTGAAAATTATTTGAACTAGATTCAAAAAACAAATGACAATAATTTACTAAAAAGTTTTTTCTGAGATCATAAAGTAATGAATTAGAAGATATTTCTGAAGCCTAAACTCTAAATTTTTTGTATTTGTTGAGGATATAAAAGATCTAATCTCTGGAGATTAAGAAGAGAGAATTTGAATGGAGTGTGGTAGTGGACACTTATAATCCTGGTGCTCAGGAGGGTGAGTCAGGAGAATCTTGAGTTTGAGGCCAGCCTGGGGGTACATAGTGAGGACTAGCCCAATATGGGCTATATAGCAACACCTTATCTCAAAAACAAAAAACGTAGTAGAGAATTTGTTAATTTCTTTGGAAGGAGCAATAAAGGTTCGGAAGAGCTTGAATAGAATTTACTTAATGGAAAAAAACTAGAAAACTGAGAAACATGTGGTCTGCAGAGGACTGTTAATTTCTTCTTGAGAAATTTCATTTTAGAGACCAAGTTGAGAGTGTCCAGAGGAAGATGCTAGCAGAGGAGAGAGAGAACATGAGGAAGCACTTATGTCAGGGTCTTACAAGTGCCAAGCCTGTGCTTCCATAAATGAATGAAACGTTTGCGTTTCAGGGCTCTTACGTGCTTCACTCTAGTTCAAACCCTGGAGAGGATATGGTTGTCAAGGGAGGTGACAGGTGGAAATGGGTTTTGGAAAGGCCTGTATCTTCTGTTTGACAGTTATTTCCATCAGTCCTCGTGTTCATCCTGATTTTAATAGGAGTGTCTCCATTCCCTAGAGTCTGGTATATCTAGGCTGACAATATGTTTTAGCACAACGTTTGTTATTATAATAGAGAGCTATTCTTCCAGTTCTACCTCTCAGCTTTTTAAACCAAGAATGGAAGTTGAATGTAACGAAAGGTTCTCTATTACTCATGAACTGTTTCTTTCACCTATTGACATGTATTCAGGTATCTTTTATTAGTAGATACGATAATATTAAAACATGAGCTTTAAAATTTTTTCTGTGTTCCAGGAATACATCTATAGGCCATTCTTAATTAATCATTTATCAGTAAATTCTAATTGTATTTTATATAGAAAACTTACATCCACTTTTATAAGCACAATTGGTTAAAATTTCCTTGTGTTGTAATTGTCAAGCCTGGTATCAGGTTTTGCTATGTTTGTCAGATGAGTTAATGGCATGGGGACACTTGTTCTTTAGAAGTTTCAAAGAAATGATTCATAAAATGCTGTTCCTAGAGCCTTTTGAAGGAAGTATATTTTTAACATTTCAAAACCTCTTCAAGTTCTTGTAGCTCTATTAGAGTGAATTTTATTTATTTCCAGATAATTGCTTAGTTTGTTTTTAAAAACCCTGTATTCCAAAAATAATTCATGTCCATTGTAGAAAAACTGAAAAATAAGACAACTTAAACAAAAAGGCATCTGTAATCTTATCAGTCAGAAATAGACACTCTAAACTTTTTGATGCCAGGCATGGTGGTACACAGCTATAATCCCAGCACTGTAGAGGCTTATGCAGGAGGATTGTGAGTTTCAGTCCTGCCTAGGTTCCACAGTGAGACCCTGTCTCAAAAACAAAAACATTTTGATGTTTATTTTTCCAGACCTCTGTCACTTAATAAGTGTATGACTTTGGGCAAATTCTGTAATTTTACTTTTCCTAAATCTCTTAGTACAGAAAGTAGATCCACTCTATAAGTTTATTGCAAGCATACATGAATCAGTATTTATGACATACTTGAACTGTACCTGGTACAGTATATGTGCTTAATAAATGTTAATTAACTTGTTTCTATATTTATACAAGTATCACTTACAAAAATGGCTTAACCTATTGTTAACCTATGGTATCTCAATTTGCAAAATATTGTGAACATTTTCACGTAAATACATATGCTAATATTTTTAATAACAGCTTTTTTAGAAGATAAACTCTTTGTTAGAATTATAAGTTCCATTTTTGTTTCTATTTTTAAAAATGTTGCTGTATTCGCTCACAGATCCTTTAGGTGAACTTTCCTTTATTTAGTTCTTTCTTTGCCTTTATTACTGTGTATACTGTCTGTAGTAATTAAAGCAATTAGGCTGCTGCCTGTTTCTGTGTGTGATGTTGTACACATTCCCTTCCATGTATTTTGATATGTAGCGTTCTCATGTTTTACTTCCATTTTTATTACCTCTTTGGAATTCATTTTTCAATTTCTAGCTCTTGTTTTTTTCTTATGGCTCACTCAATTTGGTACAAATATTACTTTGGAATTTTTTGAATTTTTCACCTTAGATACTATTTTCTATCTTTTAGAAAGGCAAATAAATGGATTTTAGTTTTCCATCCATGCTAACTTACTGCATTTTAATTGAGCAAAGAAATGTATACCTTTGCCGTCTTAACTGTTATATTCTTGTGTACTTCTTGTTTCTGATTTTTCTCTTTTCTTTGATACATAGTCCACGATTTATTCATATGAAGTTTTCTTTAAACTTTATACATATTTGGTCCGTGACCCTTCTCTGCCTCTGAGCATCACTCTCATTCACTCTATGGTCAGTAGAGTTAGGACACTCCTTATCTGAGTGCCCAAAGACTTTCATGCACAGCTATTTATTTATAAGCATATATAAAAATGTCTTTCAGTTTTAGAAAACAAAATTACATCATGCAGACTGTTCTTGAACTTGATTCTTTTTACTGATAAATAAAAGTTTGAATATTATTCTATACTTTAGGAACTTCCTTCTATTTTTTAATATGTCAATCTCGAATTCTATTATATGAATAAATTGTAACTTCTGCAGTCAACTCTCTAGCAACTTTTAAATTATTTTTTACATTTCACTATCACAAAAAATAGAGCTACAGTAAATATACTTCTAGATATCTGGGTTTTCCTGAGGTCTTTGTTCTCCCATACAAATAATGTAATATCAGCTAGTCATGTTCTTCAAAAACTTTTGTAAGGAATTTGACTGAAATTTTACCAAACATATTAATCAGTTTGGGGACAAATGACATTTGTACTGTGTTTAGTTTGTGATTCAGCACATTTCTCATTTTACCCTCATTTAAGTCTTCAATGTCTTTGACTAAGGTTTCAAAGCTTGTTTATCATGTGTTAAATTGATTTCCAGGAACCTTGTTTTTGTTCTTTTATAAAAAATAACTCATTTTAAAAGGAAAGCTTATAATACTGTACCAAAAAGAACAGTAACTCCTGAAATGTATTCAGAGACAGTTTCTCAGAAAGTTTCCTAAATTTAATAAATATTTTTAATTTTCAGCTACCACATTTTGAATTATATTAATAATGTAAGCTTATTACATGTGCCAGTTATCTTATATAATAATTATGAGAGCTATCCTGAAATCACTCACTATTTTGGTCAGAATTG